TAATCTATGTGAAGGTGGTCTGGTCATAATCCAGTGGTCAAGTTTGCGAGATTCGTATAACGCTCTATACAAACTCAATTGACATTTGATGTGAATTCATGCATTATTTTTAACTCATTTTATAGTATGAGTAATGTAAAAAAAGTGAATAATGCATATAAAAACTTTGAAAATTAAAATGGTCGACGATTATCGCAAACTTGACCACTGGATTATGCCCATACCACATTCCCATAGATTATCGGACCCCGATATTCTAAACTAAATTTACCTGTACGGTACAGTAATAAAACAATAAGAGCAATAATTTTTTCAATAACACAGTATAGTTTGCAGTTACACTAACAGTTAGTTCAACAATTTTTTTCATAATTATTTATAACTCCTGCTGAAGGTTCCGTTTAGGACCGAAAGTACTCGAGTATTCAGATCTAATAAATATCATTAAATCATCACTAACTATGGGGTGTCACTCGCTGTCCAACTCTTATTTAATTAAAACCCACATGATTATATAGGTTAAGCATGTTAAATTAAGAATATCGGGGTCCGATAATCTATGGGAATGTGGTACGGGCATAATCCAGTGGTCAAGTTTGCGATATTCGTATAACGCTCTATACAAACTCAATTGACATTTGATGTGAATTCATGCATTATTTTTAACTCNCATTTATTTACTAAATTGTAGCTGGATAGTTAGGGTTTTGTTTGGTATATGATTTGTCTATGTCAGTAATAACCAAAATTTTATACAATGAATATAATTTTAAACATGCAAAAAATTTTCATACTTTTTATGCAATTCATACTTATATGTTCACAAGTTGAGATTTATTATAAACTGTAATTCAATGTTTTAATAAAAATATTTACGAAGCTGTAATTTTATAAAAATTATTTTATTCTCTATAAATGAATTTTAATTCAAAATCAAATAATTTTATTGAAAATAGTGAATTACAGTTTGTAATAAATCTAAACTTGTGAACATATAAGTATGAATTTCATAAAAAGTATGAAAAATTTTGCATTTTTAAAATTATAAACCTTGTATAAAATTTTGTTTAATACTGACCTGGACAAATCATATACCAAACAAAACCCTAACTATCCAGCTACAATTTAGTGAACAAATGGATAAAATAAACAAGACGGTATTTAAATAAATTAAAATCAAAGTAGGGTTGCCATATTCTGGCCGCTCTGTATTAGTATACAAATGTCAGATTATGTTTGTGTAAGATTATAAAACTAAATCTATAATTTATATTATTATGATTAATTAATAATTATATTAATTTATCATAATGATAAATATTTATTATAAATTGAAACACAAAAATAAAATAGACCCGGGATAATATCATACACTGGGACCTCAAACTGTGTTCAAATATGCACTCTTATCTACACTTAATCCCTTTATTTATATATCAGGTGTAATCCCTTCCCAGGTTTCATAAACTGCATGTGATTAAAACATATGATTTGAGAGCATTGTTTCTGCAGTGAGTGTTGAGTGTATTAATGGTATTGTTATTGGAAAGCATTTTATCACTTGTTTTACATGAATTTAAATCATTGGAATTCAATTTGAATTGCAATTTATTTTTACAATTGTTTTATTTTTGTTGTAAAGTTACATTTGGGCCAAAAAACAGTGGAAATAGTGATAAGTGTTGAGTGTATTAATGGTGTTGTGATTGGAAAGCATTTTATTATTTATTTTATGTAAAGTGATTATAATTTTGAATAATGAGTTTTTTTAATAATAGTGAGTTTCTAAAGTTTTCAATCAAAACAATAGTTTACTAAATGATTCAACAAATAAGTCAAAACAAGACCCAAAATTATGTGAACAAATTATATCATTATGTGTTAAAGATAATAACTTTAGTTTTACAAATGGAAAGCTATTGTGCAAAGTTTGTGAATATTATTTCTAAAGCATTAATTCAAAGCACTTCACATTTACAACAAAGAGACATATAGTGTCCAAAACATACAATTTGCTTAAAAATTCAAATAAACGGAAATCAAATGAAAATCTCAACAAAATTGATAAATCAAAACATGAATTAATTGATGAATTTTTAATGGATATAACAAAGGCTTTCCTATCAGCTTACATTGTCTTCGAGAAACTCGCAAACGAAAAGTTTGTCATTTTGTTTAAATACACTCACTTTAATATACCAACCCCTGGACATCTTAGAGAAAATTATGTGCCCAAAGTATACAAGGAGTCTCTGGAGAAGGTAAGACAAGCCATTGGATTGAATAAAGTTTATGTTATGTTTGACGAGACGGTCGATCCAAAACAGCGAAGTGTTATGAATGTATTGGTTGATGTGCTAGATGGAAAACCAAATAAACCATATTTGAAATTAACTCAATTTCTCGAAAGTACTGATGGAAAAACACTTCTAAAAACATGAAAAAAGCATTGGAAATCCTTTGGCCAAACGGTATAAGATATGATGATGTCTTATTATTAGTTATTGACCAGGCCTCATCATGTAAAACTGCTGGTAAATTGGCCAAACTTAAGTTTAAAAGTGCAAAACACGTCACATGTTTGGAACATGCCATACATCGTGTGTCAGAGTGTGTTCGCGGCAACAATGATTTGTTTGATAAATTTATTTCAAATATGAAAAATATTTTAACGAATTCTCCAAAACGAAGACGTAATTTTAAGGAAATCACTGGACTTTGTGTTCCCAAACAGCCAATAATAACTCGTTGGGCTACATGGCTTGAGACCGCATTTTTTATGCGAAAAACTTTGATAAAATGTTTATTTATCGATAAATTACCAGTAACTAAGAATAAATCACTTATTAAACTTAAAAAACTGATCACAAATCAAAAACAAGAGCTCAGAGATGAGATTAAAGGATTAATTTCTTTTTAAATTCTTTCTGAATCGATAATTCAAATCCAAAAAGAAAATCTATCAGTAGATACTCAAATTAAAATTATTAAATCAATTCATTCACATTTGAAAGATACACCATATGCTTTAGACAAGTTAAAAAACAGTTTAAACAAAAACCCTGATATAAATTATTTCAAGTCAAACAATGTAGCAAACATTTATAAGTACGCTCAACTAACAACTGCTCCAGTGGAGAGGTCTTTCTCTCGACTTAATAATATGCTCACTGATCTAAGATTGAATTTGTCTGAATCTAATATTGAAAAATATTTATTTGTAAATTATAATCAGTTTTTATAATAATTTATCAATAAAATGGAATTTCGGAGAAATGTGTTTTACACCCTGTATAAAATTTTCAATTATATGTTTATTTGTCTGAACACACTTTGAGGAGCCAGATCATATATTTTGTATAATTAAACTAATACATTACTATAAAAAAAATTAGTTTTAAGTGCATATTTAAATAAAAATAATGTTTAATTGCAAAAATAACAAATATAAACAAGTTAATAAATATAGTCTACTAAGTGTGACGCCTAACCTAACCGTCCGGAACTGGTGGTCAGTTCAACCAAATCCAGGAACCCCTTGACTTGCGCGCCCACCCCACTAGTGCTCCCGGATTTGGTAGCAAAACGTTTGTAACTAAATTACACACAACTTTTGCCTGATACATTTAGTTTTTAATAGCTTCATTATCACTACAAGGCCTGTAAACCATGTAAACCAAAGTCATGTAAACTAGAGGTAAGAAAATACATTTGAATCTCATTCACAAAACTAATTGTTTTACTATTAGTACTGAATTGACAATAGTATTGAACTTCAACGCAAATCAATAGCCGTTTCATTGTATAAATAGGTCTGAAATCCTGAAACTATTGATCAACTGATAGCTTAAGACCAGACCATTGGGTGATGACTATCCTGATTATCATCGCCATCGTACTCATGGTGTTGGTAGCCCTGTGCTGTACCGGTGCTCTGTTGGCATATTTTTTATTTCCCAATAGATTCAGAACCTATGCCAAAAATGGCTTAACACCCAAACGACAGGCGTTGCTGAGGGCCGACCCGCTAATGATGTGAACGAGACGGACGGCCAGTCGATTGAGAAAAACGACATTTCCCTGAACGACCAGAAAATGGAAACAATTTACAAAAAAAGTTATATAAAACGGCTTAAGAAAAGTAGGACTACTAAGAGCCCGGTGCCCGTGGATGTAGTGAATATAACCTGGAGTCAGGAGTTTGTATTGAGATCAGACTCAATGCCCGTTGACATACCTATCCCTCAAAGCAAATCATTATAATAAACTTTTTTACAAACTTTTGTGTAGAATATGTCATAACTTTTATATTAATAAAATGAATTTTATTTTTAGGAATATATTGTGTATTATGTTTATAATTAACTAGTGATTAGCACCGGTAGTCTAATATAAATTATAAATTGATTACAATTTATTTTATTGAATGTTACATTTTGCAGAATATTCTCTAATATATTGATAACGACTGAACGCCGTTAGTAAAAGAATTTAGCCGATTATCAGGCACATAACTGTATTTATTGAATCAAAGGTTATATGAAAACTAATACAATATGAGTTTAACCCAAACTCGAGCTCTGGTGAACCCAAGTATGGACCAAACGGTCTATAGTCTAAGGGTAAGTATAACATAAAAGTCCGTGCATGCGAGTGTGTTAAGTATTTTTATACAACTGTCCAGAGCTTAAGTACAGCCTTTGGAAGCTGACCTATTGGTCAGTATAGCTAGTCTTATACATCATATCATTACCTCGGTCTAATGAAACTGTCACAGAGTTGTAACAAAAGTTTTGAACAATTATAAAGTTTGTAGTATTAATGGACGTATTGTGTGTATGAATGCATGCAATGTGATTATCACGTGATCTGTATTTGAGTTTTTCGCACTAAAAATATCACACGTGTTGTGTTGTTTGTGGCAAACGTTTGATTTGTTTTGCTTTCAATTCAATACAATTCTAACAATAGTAATTATAATCAATAATAATAATAATCATATATTGTGGACACAATATGCCACCAAAGAAGAAGTTAACCACAAAGAGGTCGAAGGAATCCAAACCAAAGCCATGGGAAGTGACAGAGAAGTGTATGTATTATATAAATGTTATTTTTGTCATTAATTAATATATAAAACTATTTTTGTCTTATATTAAGGGATGTCTGAACTGAAGGACAATGAAGAGCTGGTAGACAACACTGGTCCTGACGGTGAGCTTAAGGATGCTGAGGATTGGCTACCGTATTGTAATAAGAATGATCACGAGGCGGACGTAGACCCTGGACCTCAACCGGGAACCAAAGATGTGTTTTACGTGGACGCCGTCTATGGCTGCGAAGTGATGTTTGATAAGGAGAAACCTTATCTCGGGTTTTACGTCCAGTGGTCGGGCTATCCGGCGGATGAGAGCAGTATTGAGCCTCTACAGCACTTGATGAACACTAGAGAAGTGTTGCAATGTGTCGCGATGTGTAACCTTCGGGTCAACGGCGGTACGACAGCCAATGAAGTTGGCACAAAGTAGGGCCAAACAGTGACGCGGAAGTCATTGAAGGAGATCAGTCCGGAAGAGATGCAGTTTAGGAAGGACTTCATGAGTCATCTGTCGATACCTGATGACATCGATTTGGGTGATAATGACTACCAGATGGCTGCCAATGAGATTCTTCGCCGCAACAGATCTGAGGACAAGTACTGTGCATTTATTGGCTTCTTTGGGTAATGTTTTGAATAGTTATCTGCAGTGGGTTTCACTTATTTCAAATTATGTCAACTAGTAATGTATATACTTAATTCATTTTTAGTGTTAAACACATTTTTTTATACGACTATTCAACACTAGTTATTTACGCCTTTATAAGTTTTAGTCATAAACATTACAAATATAACAGTTGAAAAATATTAAGTTTGTTAATCATAAAATGAGCATATATTGTAATCAAGTTTAACTTATTTTATAGAAATGAATGTAGTTTTAAAGATGTGCTTTAAATGTAATAATCATTTTATGATTATAAACATTGAAACTTAAAATTGTTTGAACATTAATGTATTAGTAATTTTAAATGTCTTAAATTTGTTATGACATAAATAACTAAGGCTCTTAAAAATTTATAAGTTTATCAAGTATAGGTTATTATACTATTAGTTTATCATCCCTATTTTTTGGTGATTTTAACTTTTGGAACTCAATGATTATCTGTAATCATATTATTTTAATTATATTTGTTTTTAGTCCTAATAGTGAATCAAATCTCGTATTCCAATATGAGATTGACTTCTGGAAGGAAGTATGTGCGAAGTGGACATCACTTGGACAGGAGTTGAAGTACGACTTCTATACACCATTCATTGGGTCCAAACCCAAAGAGTTGAACGGCAAGGGATACGATAAGTCGTACAGTGAAAAGAATCCTTTGATTCAGGCAAAGGTGTGATAGCGACGATCATGGCGCGGACCTATCAGGGCGGACCCGGGGACAATCATTGATGTGTGCTTTTGGTCCGCGTAGTCGATGGTGTGCGAGAATGTAAGCATCCGAGTATAATCGAGTTTATTTTATTTAATTAACTAAATAACACTTCTCGTTAACGCATTGTTAGTCTATAACTACAATCCGACGGCTTCTGCGACTGAGCCACACTTGTGGGCAAGACGTCTGAGGAATCGGATGGCCAAGGGACACCCGATTCATTTCGGAAACGGGACCGAAACAGGCGGCCGGCAGTGCATGAGATCGGACATTATGTTTATTGGCGACGTGTTGGCGAACGTGGACTGGTATGCCAAATACGGATTCAAACCAAATCCGAGAAAATAAATTCTTATGATTAATTTTTGTATTAGATATAATATCTCATTTAAGTAGATATTCTGATTGAATAGTATTGAATAAAATTAATTATAAACTAAAAATAATTCGTACGGCCAAATAATTGCGGAGTGTACATGTATAAAACTACTGCATTAAACAGGTTTTATATGAAAGTAAAATGTGTTCGGTATTTATAAGACAATCTTATGACTTATTTTGTGTCAGATGTTTTCAGAGTATTTCATGTGATTTGAAAGCATGTGTTGTGTATTAAAAGTATTGTGATTGGAAAGCAATTTATTATTTATTTTATTTAAATGTTTTAACTTATGTATTGAATCATAAAACAGTATATTTTATTGAGTTTTTAAGTGGCATTTAAATTGTTAGATATTTGAATAAATTAATTTATGCTTATTAAAGTGACACTCCTTTCGAGTCTTGTACTGACATTTAAGCCAGAAACAGTGAAAATAGTGATAAGTGTTAAGTGTATTAATGGTGTTTTGGTTTGAAAACATTTTATCACTTATTATACATGAATTCAAATCAATTGAATTGCAATTCACTGAAAAATTCGCTGCATTTTTGCATTAAATCCCTAAATATAATCAATTTATTTTCAATTGAAATATTGTATTAACTATTAATATTAATTGTAATGCAATGTGACACCCTATACTTTTAATAAAATATTTTTGTCCGCAATTATTTTGGTCTAATAATTCGTATTTAATCATACGTATCTAATTATTTACTATTGTAGTAAGTTCTTGATTAAATATTTATTAAAATAATCGGGTTTTCGAAATTAACGGTATAATGCAAACACGAACTTAAATATTTTATGATTTTAAAGTAAAGTACAGATAATAAGCTTTAATTTGAGATATTAAAACTCGGTGACCGCGTTTCGCAAGTATTTTAAAATTAATTTTGAAAATAACGAAATTTTAGAAAATTAACGTTTGTTGAAGTTAAGGTGCCACGCAAACATGGACCTAAAATTTTTATTAATGTATAAGAAACTACATATATTCAGGGTTAATTTGACGTATTGAAAATCGATGACCGTGATCGGAAAGTATTTTTAATTTATTTTTGAAAAATCTTAACTGTTTATTTTGATGTTTCTATGGATTTTTCCTACTAAGAGGGGATATTTAAGTATTGTTAAGGCTTACTACAGTCTAGTTAGGCAAAGGTAATGTGCATCTATGTGTGTGTGGAAGAGGGAGAGAGAGAGAGAGAGCAATTATTCCAAGAATTGTACGCCCATTTACTAGCCGTAAACTCTTCTTACTATACATTACTATATATAATGTAATGAATAGCGTACCGGTTATGCTATATAATACAACGATTGTTATTTTAGGTTATTGTGTATTTAAAAATTAGTTATAATTATAATTAAATGCAAAAAATTAAGAGTAAATAACATGATTATTGAAATAGTTTGTGCCATTCTGTATAATATGAGTTATGGGTTATGGTGTGCATGTATGGGTCGATTAGGATTGCGTTTACTCCACATTTGATAGCTTAATGTAATCAAACATAAAGCAAATACAATAAGTCCGACAATTAAACCTTTCTCTAATTCGTTGAAATCATACATAATTTCAAATATTTCCCTTTTGTTTTTACAAATTAAGAGGACAATCTCTTCGCACATCTCATCATGAGAGCAGAGAATAGGTTTAAGGGTATCAGTGGTATAATCTGATGGGAAATTCAGGCCTAAAACTGGGGATTCTATGAGATTCTGGTCAATTAAACCTCTATTCCATTTGTAACCAATTATTCTTATTTGGTTTCGTACAGCAGTAATTTGTTGGATGACTGTATTCAGTACAACCTTGTTAATTGATGTGTTGATTATCTCTCCGTTTCCCATAAGATCATCAGAATTGCTATTCAATTCTGTTTTCAATACTACGTCTAACGATGTTTTGTCTTTCAAATAGGGTTTTCTTAAACTTAACGACATTTTCAGAAATGGTACAGAATCTGTCTAATTCTCTAATGAAATAAGTCGATAATAATTCTTTACAGAATAGATGTTCGTTAATTGAAATGTTATTTAAGAAATTACATGGATTTTTGTAATTGAGTTTAATTAACACAATTTCATTTGGTTTGGTAGCATGAATTGGTGGACTCAGTATTAATACTACAGTGGCTAATACTACCGGATGAGATAGTAGTTTAATTTTGGTAGTAGGGGTTCCAGAGGGTGTGACTGACTGTACAGTCTGTGGTTCTATCAATTGTTCATTCATGTCCAGAATTACAGGAGCCGAGGGAGAGACTGAGGGATCAGTTCTATGTATTAACTTATAAGTTCTGTAATAATTCCGATAGTAGTGATATAATATAAGGAAAAGTATTATGAATAGAAATACATAAATTGGAAAATAAGAGTAATGAATATAATGTGAGTCATAGTTAGTGGGCTTGAAGTCAGTGTTAATAGATGCGATTCTGTTCTTAACTTCAGCTGAGATTTTATCAAAATCGTCGGTATGGAGTGAAGGCATTAAATGAGTGTTAACTCTATGAGACAGTGAATGAGCAAAACTAAGAGTTCCGGAATATCTTAATTGCTGTGCGTTATAAGCGAGTGAACCGACTTTAAAGCTTAGGGTTGATGGCAAACTAAAGACATATGGTGGACAGTCTAGTATGCGGTCGTACACTTCTATCTTAAACGACTCGCAATAAACAAAGTTTAAGGATATAAATGATAGATGCTATCAAATATTATCAAATAATAATTCATTAATTATTAAGTTTGAAAAATAATTTATTTTGTGCCATGTGTGAAAGTATATTTAACGCATCTTTTGAACACCCATCCCGATTTATAATTTATGGCCCATCATGTTCAGGCAAAACAACTTTTGTCATCAATTTATTAGAGAATCTTGATAAATTATTCGATAAACAAATGGATAGAATCGTATATTGTTGTGATTCAGCAATAAATTTTAGTAATAATAATC